AAACAAGGCTGATATGCAAATTTATGAAGCATTCCATAAAATAATTTTTTTTTAAATGGGATCAGTGGACATGAGAGAAAATCGTTCTGAGAGATTCTAGGTAGGACACTAAGGGCAGTGCCTCAGGGCCGTTGGCACAGGAACAAAAGGGGTTTTAGCTGATGAGTGAACAGCAGGACAAATTGGCCCTCTGGCAGGGACCTTGGGTTCTAGCCAAGAGATGTCTTGGCCTTCTAGGCAGATAGTTAGCAACTTTTCGAGTCATTCCTCATTGGACTTACTAAGCACTACAGGTAGGAAGGTATGAGTTGAACTTGAGCCATTTGTGGCCAAAGAGTAGACACTTTGCTGGCCCAACACCGGTCTCCTCCCCAGGTGCTCCTGGTGAGACCCAGTCCCCAAAGAGTAGAGGTGCTGTGTAATGAGGGCCGGATCAGACTCTGAACAAAAGGGCTAATGGCTGGCAAGAGGTCAGGATGTGTCAGCTCCACTGGGATCCTGGGAGCTCCAGTGACCTTTTGCCTGTTCTGTGCTTTGTTTTCGGTTTCTCCATGCAGCTCGGATTGGGAAAATGAAACGGAGGAAGCAAGATGAAGGGCAGGTATGTCCCCTGTGCGACCGCCCCCTGGCAGGATCGGAGCAGGAGATGAGTAGGCATGTGGAGCATTGCCTTTCGAAGGTAGAGGGGCCATCCCTACCTACCTCTTCTCCCCTACCCCCCCTCACTTTCCCTGACACTAGCTGCTGACTGCCCCCAGATTTAGGGGCTGTGTTGGGGTCCCCGTGGGGTCTCAGCAGCTGCTTCTTCTCCGTTCTTCATCCTCTTCCTTTGCTTTCACACTTTCACTCCTTCCCTGGGGCTCCAGTGGAAAATTACTGGGAAGAGGCAAAGGTTCTTTGACTTTTGGATTGGTTTCCTTGAAAGCAGCCGAGAGCTGGGGGCCCGTCTGACCCACCAAAGCTGGGGGCCAGGGTTGTGCCTTCCTTATAGACCCGGGGGAGCAGGTGGTGGTGGCCTGGGACCCACATGGTCCTGCTTTGCTCTTCACAGAGGGAAGGCTCCTGCATGGCCGAGGATGATGCTGTGGACATCGAGCACGAGAACAGCAACCGCTTTGAGGAATATGAGTGGTGTGGGCAGAAGCGGATCCGGGCCACCACTCTCCTTGAAGGTGGTTTCCGAGGTACAGGCAGCTGACACGTAAAGCACTGGTGCTCTGGTGGCCGGGCCTCTGCTGGGTATCCATCTGTTGGGAGCCGAGAGGCCAGGGCTGGTGGCTGGTCATCCGTTCCACCACGTGGGAACTGCTGCTGGTGGGGCTCCTTTGTGACCGTGCTGCCTGCCTGTGATGTGCATATTAAAATGGATGTATTTGGGTGGGGAAATGGAATTGAGGCTGCAAGCTAGGAGTGACGAGGGGGGCTCTCAGCCTCGGGTGATGCATTGAAGGTGACAGCCAAGCCGCGTTAGCACCTGCATAAAATATTAAAGGGACGGTTATGCATTTATCACTCCATCCCTCTTAAGGCTGATAAATGAGAATCCAGCAACCTGCTGTACACCTCCAGCACTGGGGGCCCTGAGGGCTTCCAGGCAAACACATTGGATTTTCCTCCTCCTCCTCAGCCCCACGTCAGGGAAATCAGTTACAGAGGAGAGAGTGAGTTATGGCAAAATTTGACCTCCCATGAGCTTCACTGGGGAATCTAATTTTAGCTCTGCTCCCATCCCTTCTCCCTGGGTGCCCTCTGCCCTGAAGCAAGAGGGGCCTGGGCCCAGCTGCTCCCTGCTCCCCTTGGGCTCGCCCCTGTTACTACAGAGAGGTCCTCAGGGCACTGCGCAGTTCCGTTGCCCTCCTAGCTCCTTGGAAGGATGTGGCTTCGCCCAGTGGAAGTCTCCCATCCCCCCCCCCACCAGGTCATACAGTAGACTGGCTGGTTGCCTAGGGTCATGTACTCCTGTCAGACTCCCCTGCTCTAGTCAGGGGAAGAGGGAAAGAGTCTGCCTCCTGGCCTCCAGCTCTCCTCTTTCTGTACAAGCACAGCTGGCCCTGGGACTCACGATCATTGAGTGAACCAGTCTGCTTCCTGTCTGCCTCCAATTCTCCAGGCAACACCCCTGGGTGTACTGGTGGGTCCCTGGGGAACTTCACAGCAGCTGGGAAGAGGGTCTCTGTCTTGTCGGGGCCATGCTTCATGGGCCGGTCCCAGGGAGTGGTCTCCATAGCGCCGTGCAGTGCAGACTGGACACATGAAGGGGCTCCAAGTCCAGGTCGGGCATTATGCCTCTGGGTTTCTCTCATTCTCCAAGCCTTTGGGGTCAGTCAGGACAGTGAAGGTATCAGGCAGGATGGTAAATCAGCCTAAACCGTTGCCCCACCCTGAGCTGGAGAAAGTTCATTTGCCACGTCACTCTGGTCCTGTCCTAGAGCTCTAGAGTGTCTGAGGCCCTGGAAGGATGAGCAGCAAAACCCCCAGGATCCTGGGAATGGGACACACGGGTGTCTGGCGGTGGCCCATAAGGGTCAGCTGCAGGACGCAGCTCTGGGTTCACTCTGTTGGCAGCTGCAGATACATCTTCCATCACTGTGGCAACTTCTTAGGTTTCTTAGCACCGAACTGGACCTGAGGCCTTCTGGGCACCAGACCAGGCTTATAGGGGCTACAGCTGCAGATGGGGCCTGCTGATTTGACGGTCCTTCCCCTGCGCTGGGACACACTTGCAGAGCCAGTGTGCGGTGCTCTTAGGCCCTGGGCGGGTGTCAGTTTTCCCTGAGTGTTTACACTGTGAGGTTGTTCCTTTCAAGAATTCCTGAGGGGAGTTCAAAGGGGGCTTTTCTTTGAGCGGTTTGGAGAGGAGAATGAGAGTGAGGCTTGAAGAGGGAGCAGGGCCGGAGGTGCCTTTATCTGCAGAGAATGGCTCCAGCTTGCCTGATAGAAGCTGCTGCCGCCTCTTAAACAGCTTAGCGCAGTCAAAAGACAGGCAGACTTGAAAGGCTGTGTTACAGCAAGATCAGCGGGGGCCACGAGGCAGAGAGCAGGGCGCAGTGGAGCAGAGGAGGCTGAGGCTCCTCGGTGGGGGGGAGGGGGGCATCAAAGGAGGCCCTGGTTGATCCTGACTGCCTCTGCCCCTGAAACCCCGGCTGCAGAAGCTGGCCATCTGTCAGTCTACCCTCCCTGGCCAGGACCGGTAGGCCCCAACTCTTGGGGGGTTGGGTGTGGCCCCGCCAGGCGGGCTGGTGTCAGTGCGGCGCATTGATCGCCCGCCGGGCGGGCCGGGCCGCAAGCCGGGCAGCGCGTGCTTAATGTGATTGAAAGGCAGTTAAAATGGCGGTGACCTTTTCAGGAGGAATTAGATTGCCTGCCAAGACCGGTTAGAGGGAGTGATAACGCCAGCTGAAGAAGCTGCCCAGCCGACTTCAGAGAGAGGGAGCAGAGGCAGGATGAGCGGGCTAGTGCTGAGGCCCATTTAAGCTGCGCTGTGCGTGCTGACAGAACAGAGATTGCTGTTCTTGTTAGATATGAAAGAATTGAAGAATTGCAGATAAGTTCCTGTATCCGATCATCCCCTATCCCTCCTCCCAGACCGGGGCCCCTTCGTCATCCTCAGCAAGCTTCCCACCAGGCCTACTGGGAACTGGTCTGATGGAGCAGATCTGTTACCTTGAGTGTAATCTGCTGTGGAGCTAGGGAACAAGCAAGAGTTTTGCTGGAGACACTTGGCTGAGGGGAACAGGCCTTGAAGATGGATCTGTGGCTATTGAGGGCAAAGCCTAGGTAGCTCGGACCCAGGAGTGCTTGGAATTGGGACTCTAGAACAAAATGAAGGACAAGACAGAACAGGTAAGCAGGCAGCAAGCACCAAGATAGGTCCAGCTAGAAATAGATCTTTAAGAGGCTAAAGGAAATAAAGATTTCAAGACAGGTCGGAAGACCTAAAACTTTCAGTATCTAGGAAATACTGTGGCCTTCCCAGTTCTCAGAGAAATCCTGGGCTGTGTGCCTGAGCTGTTGATGTCCTCTCAGAACCTTAGGGTTGCTAGTCTGCTACTGCTTTTTCCCCCACCCAGCATTAGAATTGCATAAAGTGTAGCATGGAGCCTAGAGTTTCCCCAGCATTCCCCTGAGAGAGCTTAGCAGTTAGAAAAAGATCCTCTTCTGGGGCACCATGCCAGCCCTGGGTAGAGCAAAGGGCTTCTGGGCTAGAGCAGCAGGCCCCAGTGAGAACCTAATGATACAGCCTGCTCCTATCTGTAGCCAAGGGAGGTATGTGATGAGTGAGCCACACCTCTCCTCATTTCCTGTCTCCAGCTCCTGGGTCCTCAAAAAGAGACTTACGGTGAGCTTTGATCCTTCCCCTGTATTGGTTGCCATTGAAAGTTCACCCAGCTGGATTTGGGGAGCCTGGAACCCATCATGTCTGGAATGGACAGGCTAGAGAGAAGACACGGGAATGGTTGGTTTCAGATAAGGTAACAGTGATGGGGGCAAGCACAAGAGTGTGGAAGATGGAAACATCTCCCAGGAGACTGCACAGGAACTAGAGGGTGCTGTGGCTGTGTCTGAGCCCTGACAGGAAATGCTTCGCTAGAATCCAGCAGTGAGCCCCTTTGAATCAAACAGGTGGAGGGGAGGGAGAATGACGGTACTTAGAGGCCCAGCTGTGCAGGTCTCTGCCCTCCCCAGATCCTGGCCTGGTGACTCCATCTTTTTCAAGTTCCTCTCTTGAATTTAGGCTGGTTCCCAGTAGCCTGGGATGAGATCTCACAGAGAGGACAGCTCTGGCACCGATCTTTAAACAAGCTGTGGCTTGCTAAAACATCACCAGATCCTGGGTCGGGAGCTGAGAGGTACCCTGAGTCCCAGGGCACAGAGAACTAGGCCTTCCCCTAGCTGCTGCCCCCTCTGGCATGTTAGTTCTCAAAAGAAGGGGACCCCTGTAACTAAAAGCATCCCCGGTGTAGCCGTGCTGCGTGGTCCGGTCAGTGATAGATGTTGGAGCCCCCAGCTGCTGGAGGCAATCTTGGGGCAGGGAGGGCTGGGGCTGCTGCTTTCTAGCTCCTACCACCTTTAGTTCTAACTGTTGCTTGGTGGGAGGGGTGAGGAGAGGTGGCAGGGGAGCAGGGCACCTTCTGTCCCCTGTGGCAACTGACGGGGATTTAATCGCCTTTTGGAACACAATTGTTAAGCTGGGATAGAGGGAGTACAGGCAGAAGGAGCAAGTATCAATGGTTTTAAACGGCGTCTGTCTCTCTGCGTCTCTCCTGACGTGAGGCAGTGAAACGCGTTATTGAGGAGGCCCGGAAAGTGGCTAAGTGCGTTTGACACACGCCAACTCCCTGCCTCCACACTGGATAATTGCATTGTCAACTGTTCAGCGAGGTGGCAGGTGACACTGCAGGCCGATTGATTGTCCCGCATCGCAGCTCCCCAGACTGTCAGCTCCCCAATCGATGGCGTTTACACAAGACACCGTAACTGCATCTGTAACTAATTCCAGTGTAAAACTCTCCGGAAACTGCTGCCCCTGTCTCTCCCCACCGCCCCTCCCCAAGAGCATGGCCTCTGAAGGGCCCCAAGACTTTCCTTTCTCCCTGGGCTCAGGTTTTGTTAGAAGCAGCAGGTGAGGAAATTGATGGCTCCTTTTTTGTGGTTTCGGGTTCCAGGACGTTAGTGCCCCCAGTAAACGGGCATCTCCAGTTTCTCAATCGATCACCTAATCAATTGATTAAATTAACACTGATTTTTTTTTTCTTCTCCTTGATGACCCAGGAAGAAATGAGTTTATGGAAGAGGTCATTTTTATAAAATTTAGACTTGCTTATCATTTTTGCACTTAATCCTCTCTGTTGCTAAGTATTCATTTGGAGGGAAGGGATTTTTCACACTTCTCCCCTCCCAGAACCCACTCTGCTGAGCATCGCTGACCAGCAGCCTTGTTTGCCTAGAGACAGCAGCTCAGCACATTGAGCCACTTTAACTGGGGTTGACTCATAGCAAGGGGCCTCCCCTGGTGACTAAAGGGTCCTCCAGGTCATCTTGGAGGTCCTGGGAGCTGAGTCCCTTCCCTGGATAGCAGCAGCAGGAGCGGCAGCTTGCTTGTTATCCCCGGAGCTACATGGAACAGGAGCCAGAGGCTTGGAAAGGAGCTGTGTGTGCCATCTTGCCTCTGAGTACTGGCTTGGGATGTTCCCGCAGCTGAGAACATAAAACGGCTATGGAGCCCTCCTCTTGAAGCTGGGGGTGGGGGGAGGGTGCCAAGCAGGGGCTGGGGGAACGCTGTCGGCATAAAATGGCTTTATGGCAGTTTCTTTTTATTATGATTCTGCCAGAAGTCAGCAAGTGACATTTCATTAAGAAAATAAAGTTTAATGTGCTGGGAAGGAGGTTGGAGGAGGCTGGGACAGCATAAGAGGGAAATTGGCAGTAGCAGCCTGTTCTCAACACCTGTGGGGTAGGGAGAGGTTCCCAACATCTGTCTCCACAGGGGGGATGGGGTCAGGGTCACAAACCAGAGACAGGCCTTTTCCTTGGCGGTTAAGATGTGCCATGCTCTCTGTCCTGCCTGGCAGGTCATCACTGCCCAGCTGGGGTTGGGGTCTGACAGGGAAGGCTGTATCCTGAGAGGCTTCAGGCCTCCGCCTCCTTTCGGACATAGGGCTCTCAGGACCTGACAGGACAGCGCCGTCAGCATTTTAGCCATCACTGCTGTGGGCCTGGCCAGCTCTGCTGCATGCTGCTGAGACCACAGCAGTGAGTCCGACCTGGGCTTGCAGTTTGATGAGGGGCCGTGACAGTACATGTAGTTAAATATGACTTTGGATTTGCACAGAAGTCTGGGTGGACACCAAGGAAGGGACACCTACATAGAAATACCTGGGGAAGTCTTCACACTCAGCACCTCACGGGTGGAGATCAAATCTTGAAACTCTTGTGTCTCCAATGCCAGGCCAGACTGAGGATGAGCTCAGTCAAGGTTGAAAGAATGTTGGGGTATTTCTGGAGCAACTGTGTGCATAGGCACTGTGAGTTCTTAGCAGGAGGCATGGCTGAGCTAGGTCAGACTTGCAGAATAAGCAGGCGTTTGTTCTGTAGACCAGGAGGGAGAAGAGATAACAAGATGTATGAAGGCGGTGGCGCACAGACAGACGTGGAGGGAAAGCACAGTGGCCTCGCTCTGCTGGGGTGGGAGTCCTGGTCTAGGCCTGGCCGAAGAGAGGACTTCAGGCCACAGGGCTGCTTTCTGTGTTGAGAAACCGGGACTCTTCCTGGCAGTTCTCTGGTACCCTGTTTTCTCAGCTTTGCTATGGGTCCTTTGCTTTCCTTCTCGTACACTCACCAGGCAGGGCTGGACAGGGCCTGGCCGAGGCGAGGCTGTGAGGCCGGCTGCTGAACTGTGTGTACTTGGGGGAGGGGGCCTTGGCAGGGTTCGGGGGCACAGGCTGTAAGTGAACCTGATAGCTCCATTCTGATTGATGGCAGAGTTTGTCTCCCAAACTGTCAGAGGGTTTATAGAGGTGCCACTCAGCCACAGGGAGGGAATTGCTTGTCAGGACACCTGGCCGTGAATAGGAGACAGAGCTGTAACTTGGTGTTTTCTCAGCTTAATGGCCCCGCTGCTGACCTGCCTGCTGCCTTGAGTTTGTTGGTGCCTCAGTGTGGAGTGGAGATGAGGGCTGGCGGGGGGGCGGAGCAGAGGGGAGCTTAGCCAGTGCCTAGCGCCTCGCTTTCCCTCGTGCTACTTGACTTTGGGATGGATGAAATCTTTGAGAGACCAGAGATGGGAGGCGTAGGTGGGGGGAAGAAGATCAGGAAGAAAAATGCTCTTGAAACGGGCTTAAAAGATGGAGAACATTCCACATGGAGCGAAAAGCATGAGCAAAAGTCTGCAGAGCAGGACATAACAGGGCTGTGTGAGGCTCAGTAAAGAGTGTGTGTGTAGGCATGGGGTGCTTGGGGCGACAATGAAAAAAGAGCAAAGGTGGACAAGTAGGAACATCCACATCTTGCTGGGCCTGGCTGAGGAGATACACATGCGGTGGGAGACCAGAGCTGGTTTTGGAGCCAGGAAAGGAAGGGTCAGAACCATCTGGGAAGCAGGATGAAGGAACAGACAAAAGGCTTGAGGACCCATCATAAGACTGTTGTCTTGATGAGAGTGGAAAGAACGGACAAGAAGACCTTTCTGAGATCATCAGGCAGAACCCCAAACTGCTTCCTCGCCTCTTTGAGGATTTTCTTGCCGATTCTACTTGCCACAGATTCCACCATTTTTGTCTCTCTCCATCCTGGCAGGACTGCTGTGCTTGCCAGTGGGATGTGGTCTGAGACCACTGGGTAGAGACAGGGGCAGGGAGGGAGAAAAGGCTCTATGGCCCCTAACCATGCCTGTCAGGAAGGGTGATCCTGGGTGTCAGAACACAGGACCAGGTAAGGGGCCCTGATGTGGCTTTAGCAGCTCACCCCTCCCCACTGGCCAAGGGTCTACCTGTGGTTGGGCCAAGTACACCTTGGTAGGGTCACCCACCTGCCTGGCCTATGGCCCTGCCTCCACCCAGCCTGGTTGCCTTTGTGGATTGCTTTGAGAAGCAGGTGTGTGTGCCTATCCTCCCTCGTCTGTCCCTTCCTAATCCCTTTATAACTGCACTTGTCCAGGAATCTGGGCTGAGTGAGGTGGAGATGAATAATTAATGTCAGGCGCTTCAGACACCAAATATTTGCACAGCTGCCTGGTGTTTTTGCTGGCAAGGACCTGGCGGCCAAAATCAGGACGTTGGCTGGGGGTCTCGCTGTGTGGCTCTGACTAGCCCTAGCCAGTTTGCTCTTCCCTTTGATGGACTGTGACAGTGGACCATGGGACACAGGGGATGGCCAGGTCTTGGGTGGGGGTGGCTCTACAGACATGAATTTCTGTGTCCTCTTCCTGCTCTTCCTAGACCTGGAAGACAGGTGGACAGCAGGTTAGCTTGAGTGTCTCCTGAGGACCTGACATAGTATACGAATGGGCTAGTTCATGAGCAGAGACCACCAGGAGCAGCAAGAAGTGGCAGAGGAAAAGGAAGAGGTATACAGAGTGAAAGGGAATGAAATGTCAGAGCCAAGAGTACCTAAGTATTTGGCTCTGTGTTTCAGGCCCAAATTTCTGTCTGGGCCTTACCTGGCCCCAAACTTAAGCCTTACCTAGAGGCAACGGAAGGGGCATGCTTGGTATAGTCTCATTGGCCCCTGGTCCTATTCATGTCTTGCTTCCCACAGGCTCTGGCTTCGTCATGTGCAGCGGCAAAGAGAATCCGGACAGCGACGCTGACCTGGATGTGGATGGGGATGACACTCTGGAATATGGGAAGCCGCAGTATCCTTGGAGCACTGTGGGTCAAGGTGGGGCTGGTGGGACAGGCCAAAGGGAATTGAAAAAGTAGCCAGCAGCTCTGGTACTTGCCTATACCCTCCCTCCAACCTGCCCCCCACAATCTTTGGGGTCAGTGTCAAAGCTTTAACCAGGATTCAACCTTCACGGCCTACTGCAACCTAGGATCTGTTGTCCTTGACCACCATGCCAGATACACAGAGGCTGATGTCATCCCCTGCACAGGCGAGGAGCCTGGTGAAGCCAAGGAGAGAGAGGCACTCCGGGGCGCAGTTCTAAAGCAAGTGTGGGCACAGGCTTGGGTGGGTGGGGTAGAGGGATGGGAAGTCCTAAGGCGGGGGAGTCAACCCAGTACCCACCTTCAGGGCTCCTCTGCCTGCCTTTAGGGCTCACTTTGTTCTTTTCCCCTTTCCCTAGTGGCGGCCCTCCCAGCACACGCATCACACCTGAGTTCTCTAAATGGGCCAGTGATGGTAAGTCCTGACTCACCTTGAGAGTAGTGGGGGAAAGGGGACATCCTTTGGGTAGTGGTGACTGACTCAAGCCCAGTCCCTCACCTGTGCTGCCCAGTCTGGCCAGAATATGAGTTGCCCCTCTGTCCCAGCAGAGATGCCATCTACCAGCAACGGTGAGAGCAGCAAGCAGGAGGCCATGCAGAAAACCTGCAAGAATAGTGACATCGAGAAGTGAGTGTCCGACCAGGAGAGGGGCCCCTGGGGTGGCAGTTCAGGGAGGGGAGAGAGGGGGTCTCTCTGCTAACCGGAAGGCCTTCTGCCAGGACTCTTGGCCCTCCAGAGCATGGCTTAGTCCTGCGGCCCTGGGCACATGACAGCAGTGGGGCCCAGCTGGTGCTAAGCGTGACTTTGTGAATTGATCGCTGGGCCACTGCCCTGGGAGTCCTGGCGGAGGGAGGAGCAGTCGGCCTGCCTGCCTGCCTGCCTGCCCGCTGCGGCGGCCTCCACCCGGGAATGTGATGTATGGCCGCCCAGCCCAGCCGGCGCACTTGATTCATCTCCAGTTTCTGTTTCTTAATCGGGAGCTAAATTGGTTTCATTTTTCTTGTCCTGGGTGGCGCTCGCAGTGGATTTTAGGCAGGAGCATTGGGTCTCATCACTTCTGGTAAGGAATTTTTGGCCTGGGTTCTCTGGCAGAGGGAAAGGGGATCCGTTAGCACTTCACATGAGACTGGCCAGCCCTGGCCTGGATTCCCAGGAGCCACGAGGACTTGAAATCAGCTGGGCATCTTACCACCTTTCCAGAAGCCCAAGCAAGGCCAGTTCTGGCCCCTAGATGTGGCACTGTCCGGCTCTAGCTGCCTAGAGTTGCTGCTCTTGGCCACTGCTTACCTCTAAGCACCCCACCCCTCGCTCTGCTGGAGGCTAGGTTGCCTGGGCTTAAAAGGCAGCCTCTTCATTCCAGGGCCAGTGTTCCATCTTGCCTCCTGCCAGGAGAGTGGATTGCAGGCCGGTGCAGGGCCGGGTCGGTGGCCCAGGGTCACCTCCCATTTGTTTCCCTCCATTTTGTGTTGTCATAAATTCATTCCAGCCCGTTGTGGTTGATCAGTTTATCTCGGCCGGGGCCGCGAGTGCTGCTGGCATGATGTATGGGCCGCGGCTCGAGGCCCGGCTGCCCATGAATCACCGCAGCTGCTCCGTGTCAGCGCCGGAGCGGGCCGCACGGGTTCGGCGCAACCAGCTGGGGGGGGCGGAATGACGTATGGATGTTTATTTAATAATTCTCTCCTACTCCAGCTGAGCGGGGCGGGCGGGGCCGTAAGGGGCGCCCACCCTTGTCTGGAGGGGCTGCTCATAAATCAGAAAGACAAGATCATTAATCAGGGATGGCGCCCAAGGGGGAGGTGGGGGCCAGAGCCAGTGGCCATCCATGAAAGTACTACCGACCCAAGGCTGGGGGAAGTTGGGACTTCTGTCCCACCTGTATGAGCACAGGCACCAGTAGGCGAGGTTCTCTGGGATGAGTCCTGTGCGGAGATCTCCACCGGGTCTGGCCCCACCAAGATTGGGGGGTTCCCCATGACTTCCTGGTACACACAACGTGGGTTCCCACCCTAGATCTTTTTCACAAACCAGGGGAAGCAGGATGCCATGGCGGCTTCCAGGAAATTCTCTACCCCGTGCCCCAGAGGGTGTCAGGAATAACTCACAAGTATCCTGGGTCAGGGACTGGAGAACCAGGTATTGTACCAGCGCAGAGATAACAACCAGGTGTTTGCCGAGCAAGTCCACAGTAAGGTGGGCTCTGCAGTCGGATGTGGCCTATAGAGCTTTTGGAGATGAAGGGGGAGATGGCTTCATTCTCTCCTGGCCCCATCCTTTTTGCCTTTCTAGCTCTAATTCCTCTGATACAGAGTTTGAGAGTGCTCTGCTCTGGGCCTTTGTCCCCAGCTCCAGGCCTCAGGGTCCCAATTTTTGAAATAACTTCATAGGACCAGGCAAATGCCTGGCCTGGTCCTTAGAAAGGGAGCACAGCTACCTTGTCTCCTTGGCAGATATTCACCAACAGTCCAGATGAGAATGGCACATGTGGCATTGGACAGAATGCCAGGGGAAGAGCCGTGCTGGCGTGTGTAAGGGTCGAGGGGCTGATGAAGCCTTCCAGATCTGGAAAGTTGAGTGGACACTTGCAGCATCAGCCAGTGTCAGAGGAGCCAGAGTCATTCCCTTCGCAGCTTCCATGGATAGAGGCAGGGTAGAGAGAGTGGTGGACCCATGGAGTAATGGATTGAGGGCATCCCTGACACAAGGACACAACACCAAGACTTCCTCTTCCTTGTTGCTGCTGGTGCCCTAAGAGAGGAAGGTTAGAGATCAAAGTCTGTTGCTGCCCATGGAATGTCACCCACCGTCCTCCCCATGCCCCCGATATCACCCAACACCAGTACCACCTGTAAGCTTTCTGGCTTTCTGCGCCAGTTGTCTGTTCCAAGCCGGCCGAACAGGCCATCCTTGGAGAACGTCTCTGCCTACACAGTGCCACACTTACGATTCCCCTCAGACTGGTCCCTCTTACCACCCTCTGGTGGGCCCAGCAACTTTCCGTTGCCTGTGAGATCAGCTTCACTTTCAGATTGTGGCCTCCAGAGTCTCCCCGATATGATCTCCCACTTTCCCCACATTAGCACTTACCCATGGGTGAGCCTTAGGGCCACATGGACCTCTTGGCCTTTGTTGGTCCTGGTCCCTGGGCCTGGAGACCCTGCTCCTCCTGGATATTGTCAGTGTTGTAATGTTAGTCACAGAGTGGTCGGTGGATCACAGCAACAGTCTGGGGTTTGAATCCCAGCTCCCCCACTCTTTGTGAACCGTAGGTAAGCTACTTCATGTTCCTCTGCTGCTTTAGTTTCTTCATATATAAAATGGGAATATTACAATCTCCTCGTGGGGTTTTGTGAGGTGTAAATAAAATAATTTTCAATCCCTCAGTACAATCGCTGGCATTTAGTAAGCACTTAATAAATTTTGGCTCTTTTATTTGTGTTATCATCATTATTATTCCCTAAGGCCCATCTCTAGTAGCATCTTTTCTGCTCCTCCAGGCAGCATTCTTCTTCTGTGAGCTCCTCTAGGTTCTGTTCAGTTGTTTCAGAAGGGGTGGGAGGGATCACCCCACTCCTTCAGCTAGTCCTAGCTCTTCACTGTTCAGTACTGCAGCCCAAAGAGCCTTCCAGAAGTTACAGGGACTTTCATGGGCAGAGCTTGAACAGCAGGTGAGGGCTCTCAGGGCATCTGATGTGCCCAGGAAGGAACAACAAGGAGCCCTTGAGGTAGGGTGGGTCTGTAGCCCAGGACCTGGATTCTGTGGGACTTATGTAGTCCCCACACCTCTTACTCTGGGGGTGACTGGCTTTTGGGTCAACAAACATTTACTCACACTCCCGTGCCCGCCATGGGCTAATGTCCGTAGTCAGTATTGGTGGTGTGAGCAGCCTGCCCCAGGAGACAGGGACGTTTGTAGTTGCGCTGCTGTGGTGCGGTCCGCCACAGGGTGCCAGAGAGCACGGGAGACCAGCCACCCGCGGTGGGGCTGGCAGGAGGTGCGGGGGGCCAGAGGAAGCAGGAAGTGCTGCCAGAGGCCAGGGGCGTGAAAAATGGTGCTGGGTATGGGAAGCTTCAGTTTGGTGTGGATGGAGCATCACGTGCGGCGGGGTGCTGAGGGATATGGGCCGGGGGGCTAGGCCAAGGAGTCCCTGTTCAGCTTCCAAGGAGTTTGATAGAGCTGTATTCTGAGGGAAACATTGAAATGTTAAAGTAGAAATGGTCAAATCTGCAAAATTCTAGGTGCTGAGAGAATGGAATGAAGGATCTGGAGGCAGAGGGGCCATTCAGGTCGGCAGAGGAATCGTAGGAGAAACCATGAGGGCCTGGACCAGAGGTAGCAGTGGAGACACTACCGAGATACTAGAAACTAGATGACAGATTGTAGGTGTCGAGGGTGACTGGGAAGGAATGGTTTGAGAATGGTTCCGAGGTATCTGGTTTGGAAATTCACTGAGGTGGAGGTGGAGGAACAAGGAGGGTGAAGAGTTCAATTCGAGAAAGAGGAGTTTGCAGATAGAGGCTTTCGGCAGGTGGGGGGCAGGGACATGTGGGAGACATTTATATATATGCTTCTAGAATTCAAGGGAGGTGTGGGCTGGAGGTTCAGATTAGAGATGCCAGCCTGCTGCCTGCCCAACCAAGCCATCCTCTTTACAGAATCACCGAAGATTCAGCTGTGACCACGTTTGAGGCCCTGAAGGCTCGGGTCAGGGAACTTGAACGGCAGCTATCCCGTGGGGACCGTTACAAATGCCTCATCTGTATGGTGAGAGAAAGGGAACCTGGGATGCCTCTGGTCAGGCTTCAGTGCCCTCTGGGGGTTGGAAAGGGCCTTTGCACTGTGATTTGAGCTCTTTAGGGTGGGCCAGCCTCAGAGTGACCCCTTCTCTAACCCCACTCCTCCCTAGGACTCCTACTCGATGCCCCTAACATCCATCCAGTGTTGGCATGTGCACTGCGAGGAGTGCTGGCTACGGACCCTGGTGAGGTGGCCTGCGGTTTGGGGAGTGGAGGGCGATCTCCGGTGCTGCCCACACGTCCATGCTTATTCTTGAGCCTGCTTGAGGGGAGGGTGGTGCGAGGGGCAGGGGAGAGCATGAGAATCGAACACAGCAGCAGGAAGCCAGGATATTCACCCCCCCAGGCTCCCCCCCATTCTCTCCTCCCCCATCAGGTTTATTCTCTCCCTCAAAAAAAAAAATTCTCTCCCTCCATGGGTTTGCTGCCTGCTCCCCTCCCCCTGCCCACCCCCAAGGCTCCCTCTATCACATATACTGGTGAGATCCCGGGTCAGGAGGAGGCTGGTTGTGGGTAAGCAGGACCAGGGCCTCAGCCCCTCCCCCTGCCATTACTAGGCTCCTTCTGCTCCTGCCCCTGTTCTTCGCTCTGGAGCAGCCATTAAAATGTCGCCCGGAGACAGCAATAAAAGGCCCGGACGTGGGCTCTGTGTCCTGATCAAAGGCCGCATGTAATCTCGTTAGGGCCGCCGCAGCCACAGCTGGACCCAGTCTTGTTCTCATTACCGGGGCTCCCGCTGCGGGGCTGGCCAGGCGGTTTGATCCTGGCGTCCCCCCAGCACAGGAGTGCGCCTGCCTGCTTGCAGAAGCCGCCTGTGCATCCCCAGCCTGGGCTGGCAGGACCAAGGTGCCAGCACACATGGGCTCAGGGAGACGTGGCTGCAGGCCCAGGTGCTCTCACCAGCAAACAAGCGGCGGCGTAGTGTGTGACCAGAGCCCTCCCTGTTCTCCCTGCAGGGTGCCAAGAAGCTCTGCCCTCAGTGCAACACCATCACAGCGCCTGGAGACCTGCGGAGAATCTACTTGTGAGCTAGCTGCCCCCGGCGGCCCTTGCTGCGAGCAGCCCCACCTGCCCGCCTCTGTGACGTGACCCTCTCCCTTGTACATACTTGCACACAGGTTCCCCATGTACATACATGCGCGCGCACACATACGCGTGTGTGCACACATGCACACGCGCGCGCACACACACACACACACACACACACAGGACTCTGGAGCCAGAGTGGAGGCTGAGGCCCAGGCCCTGCCTGCTGGCCGCTACCAAGCCTGGGACCATACCTATTCCAGGTTCTGTTCCCAGGGTGGGGCAAGGAGGTGGAGGTAAGGGGGAGTAGCAGGGCAAGGCTCCTGAGATCCAGCCCCCGGACGGACAGACGGACAGACATGCAAACGCCAGACTGAAGCACATGTAATATAGACTGTGTATGTTTACAATGTTGTGTATAAATGGGACAACTCCTCGCCCTCCACTCCGTCCCCTCCCCTTTGGTTGTATGATTTTCTTCTTTTTTTAAGAACACCTGGGAGCAGTGCCCCCTTCAGGGCTGGCTGGGGGCTCGGCCCATCCACCTTTCAGGGCGCCTGCCTCTCTCTCCCCCATGGCATCCCTTTCCTTCTCCTATGTGCTCGGTGTTCAGTGGTGTATATTTCTTCCCCCAGACATGGGGCACATGCCTCAAGGGACACGATCCTCTTCTTAGTCTTAGCTCCTGGGGCTCTTTATAAGGAGTTGGGAGAGGGGGGAGACACAGGAAATGGGAGCCGAGCTGAAGCAGGGGCTGAGATGGGGGCTGGATGAGTGTGCTCCTGGCTGCCCAGCCTTCTGCCAAGAACCATTCCTGGGATTAGAACTGTTCCCAGGGAAAGTGGTCTCCCCCGCCCCTCCCCTGGGCCCCATGGTGTGATGCTGTGTCTGTATATTCTATACAAAGGTACTTGTCCTTTCCCTTTGTAAACTACATTTGACATGGATTAAACCATATAAACAGCTGCTGCCTGTGTGTGTGAAGGGCTAGCTGATGGGGCAGTGTGGACAGAAGCAGGTAAGGGGTTAACTCCTGCAGCAGTGTGGGGCACAGGACTTGGATGTGGGTGTGCAAAGCAGTGCAGGTTTGGTCTGCTCAGGGGGCCCCTGGAGCGCTCCATCAGGAGTGGGGGTGGGGCTGGGGACCCACACTCCTGACTATTGATGGGTAGGGGCTCCAGGTTAATTCCTTATCGATGCAGAATCGTCAGCTCATTAATCACAGAAGAGGTCAGAGCTTGGGGGTACACAGCTCTATCCCCCAATCTAGAGCAAGAGCAGCTATAAGCTTAGGTAAAGACACAGACCCCAAGCCTCTATCCCTTTCTAGTCTTCCGAAATGAGCCAGGGACCAAAGTGACCATGGCAGCCACTGTGGCTTTTTTTATAGTGAGTGACCAACACCCCAGTGTAGCTCCTGCCTAGATCCTCGGGTGGCCTTGGGAGAAAGCCCCAGTTGTCCAAGGTGGACTCTTGCAGCAGGGAACTGAAGCTGGGCCGCCAGCACTGAAGATGGCGTTTTATCAAATCGCCATCCCCAGAGCTGCATGCCGCCAGGTAATAATCTGCATCCTGGGTGCTCAGGCAGGTGCTTTAAGCTGCAGGTGAGTCCTGTCCTTTACACAGTGTCACGCACCAGGCCCATCCCCCATCTTCAATCCCCCCACCTTAGACACACCGACGTCTGGGGTGCCCTTGGTGTGTACTACGGAATAGGGTCCAGCCTGCTGCTCTTGCCTTCTGCACCGCGGTGACACGTCAACCTGTTTGGAGCTCAGGGAAGGCCCTGCCGAGCCCCAGGCCCAGCTTGATGGCACCGAATATCCCGAGTCCAAGAATCTTGGGGCCCAAGGTTCTAGGGAATGTATGCAGCCTGCCAGAACAGAGCGGCCCCAGTGATGGCTAAGGTTTCAGAAAAATGGGTAATGCCCAGTTCCCATCGGGCTGGCTCCTTTCAGGCCTCAACTCTATCCTCTCTTTGCCTTGGACTCCATAGGTCCCTGATGGCTGGTTACTCTCAACCCAGGTGGGGCGGGAGGGGGGGGGCGCATATGCTCTCTAATAGGCCACATTAACCCTAAGTGAGGGCCTGAAGCCTACTCAGCGGTGGTATCCTTAAGCTTGGTCTTATGGCCCAGGCAGCACTGCCACCTGTTGGCTATGGCTAGGAATGCAACTGCACAGCATAGAGGATCAGTGACCATGGTCCCAAGAGATTACAGAGGGCGGGCAAGATGCAGACAGCTCGGCTCTGGAGCCAGAGGGTCCGTCAGTCCTGAGAATATCAAGCGTCAGCTCCCACCCAGAGCCTGGCCAGCCATCTCCGTCACTGCCTGTCAAACTTACAAAGCCCGTCCCTGTCCCCCTCCCAAGTCCCTTGAATGCCACAGTGAGCTCATTCAGTCAGCATGTTTATTGAATACCTACTATGTGCCAGCATTGTGCAGCAGGGACTTAAAGAACAGGAGAAGGTAGAGAACTCAGGCTGAAGCCACCTCTCCAGCCTGGAGATGATCCAAGTGGGTCTCTCAAGGAGATGAAGGAGTCCTCGCCCCGGCTCTGGTCTCCAGGGCTACCAACTTCGCTTGTCCCAGGTCCTGTATGGCACCACTGTCTTCCTACTCCTCACTCCAGCTGCCTGTCAGACACCCTGCAGCCTTCCTGGACCAAAAGCTTCCCAGCAAAGCGTTGTGGACCCCGGCAGGCCTACCACCTGCACGTCCTCAGCTCCCCTCTCTCCAGCGGTGAGGTGAGAGGAGTCTCTCTACATCAACTACCAAGTGGGGTCTATGCGGATGGTGCGTCATGCTGTGGGGCTTGGGAGCAGAAATCCTAGCCCCGTGCACCAGCCTGACCCTGTCCTCTGGCACCACTACTCAAAGCTCACCTGCCTTTCAAGAAGTTAAAGATCAGTGCTGGGGCTCCTCAACAG